AATTTGGTATTGCATATAAATAAAGAAATATCACCCCGTAATCCATGACCAGGCGAAGTCACATTGAAATCACATTGCGTTCAGACCGATTCGAAACCACCTCTAGCAGTGGCTTGGGATCGAGGCGCTTTCAATGTGATTTGGCGCGTTCAGATGGAGCCACTTGAAACCGACTTCGGAGAAAAACCACATGTAAAGCGCCTTGGGTGACTTCACATAAACACGGCCTAATATACCGGTATGTACCTTTTTACGTGTATGACGTCATAGGCGCCATGTTGGATTACAGTGCATGACGTCATATGCGCAATGTTGGATTACAGTGTGCACCGAGTTGTCACGATTAAGAAAAATAGTTATTCTGACGTCAATGAAAAGCCCGTATATCGTTTAAAAAATGAAGAATGATATGATATCAAAACCGTGACAATCTTATAATGTAGGTAAAATATGAAATATATACAATTATAAATATAAAATTACTATTTTTATCATCTAGATACTGGGAATTTTAAAACAATTGATTATTGACGGTGTTAAATGATTTAAACAGGCATCGCTATGGTAATAAGTGGTAAATATTTAGTAAATTTATCAATGAAGTACAAATCCATATATATATATGAATACATATGAATTAAAACAGTCACCTTAAAATTCCACCAGCTAAGCCAATTGTTACATTACATACAGCGAAAACTACTAATTTTAAAAAAACGAGCTATTTCAACATGCGTAGTATTGGTAATTTGTATATTCGATAGTTTCTGCATTAGTGGGTGATAATTAATTGGTGATAATGACAACCCCCTGTTTTAGTTTGGATGTTGATTGCATAATGTATATTGTGTGTTTTGTTCACTTGTCTCCATCTTTATTTAACCGTTTAAAATCGAAGCACAATTCAGGGGTGCGTTAGTCAATCCCTGCTGTTGTAGGATTTTGTCAAATCGAATAAATAGAATTGAATCTCAATTAGTGCATGAAAATTATTCTGAAAATAATTGCTCTGCTACTCAATTTTCAAACAACTTAATACACCCTTACTGTTTTTAGTTAGACAATGATCATTTTTCAGGACAATATCATTGATTACAACGTTTTGTGACGTAACATCTAAACTTGTGTACAATTCTTATATAACGACTAGATATACTTTCATTTGTTGTAAAAAAATGAACTTCAGATACAGAACCGACTTTTAGAAACTGTTTGAAAGATGTACACAATAGAAATCTAAAAAGCAATGATCAGCTTTGTATACCGATGGTAAGATCCAACAAATATAAGAACAGCCCTATCCCATACTTCACATTGTGTGATAAATATCATTGTGATTATTGTCTAATTTTTTTCTTGTGTGGTTATACAGTTGTTTATAAGTTTATCAATTTTTATCTGTGTCTGCCTAATATGCAATATTATATACAATATTATATAATTCCAATACTATGTGTCCTTCCTCCGTCAGCTTGACGAGGACCGCTTTGTCTTTAACAGGCCTCGAAATTAATTTTTCTTCCTATTGTCCCCGCACTCTCTCAAAAATAAATTTCAATTGTCCCTAAGTGAGGATGGACTGTCTCAACCCCTATTTTTGGGAAGTATTTTATGACTTCAATTTGAAGTCAAATTTATTTTGCTTATGTTCACTCCCACTGTATGAAAAAGCACGTTTCCAAGAGTTTCCAGTCCCGCACACGCCCGTGAAATTCGCCGTGTCCTGGTCGCGTCCATGGATTTCCGGGCTCCGCGTGTACGGCCCCGGATATTTCCTTACACTCCCGGATTCGTGCTCGCCGTGCACGTGCACGGAAATTTACGTCCCGCACACTTGGCGTGTGTTGGGGAGCGGCTAACAATAAGGGGTAATTAGGTACTGCGTGTATTCATGTTTCAGGTGATAATTACTAGTACTTGAACTAAAGTTGCCAGCACTTTAATCTAAGCAAATTAGATATAGAATGATCAAGGATTGTTAATACAACATTTGAACCTATGCGTCCTTGGCTTGATTTATCGTGATGTCGTCCATACGACAAAGCACATTTGAGCGTAGGGCGCCCCGACGCTGGGGTTATATAACCTACTCGGTCAAAATGACCTAAATCTACACTCCGGTCTAAATCTGAATTTTTTATTTTGGAAATAATAATTTATCCGTGAGGTTCATTACCATGATGTAATCAAACGCTTGACTAAAGGGGTTTGAACTAACATGACCTGATCAGTTTGTTATGATTTTTAGGTACATGTATGGGTAATAATATGCAAGCTTTACATTGTAGTTCGGTCGATGTGTATTGTGAAGTGTCTGACATGGCGTCCGTTTATGTGAATAGCCTTTGTGTAAACAAAGGGAGAACTCAAAGCGTCCCCATGCCTGGTAAAATACTGAAATCCAGCAAAACAAGTCAACCCTCATGACATTAATTGACATTTACAAAGAGGAAGGTTATGTTGGAGTTGAAGTGCGGTTTTATTTCACTTAGTGAGCGACAAGTTGTGTAATTCTAGAACGAATAAAGCCATGTAATCATGACGAATTAGAATTATGAAGATCATTTGTCTGCCTTGAAATAAATACATTCACACAATCAGAAACATCCTATCATCCAATCATTCAGACTGCACAGGCGATTTAACTTAAAACCTATAATATAAAAACAAGATGGTTGTAGTATTGAACGCGATCACGTGATTATATGACTGACGACCAATCCTACCTCGCTCTCGCCGGGACCAGCCAATAAGAGACGCGATGCTTTGTTTTGGTGGGTCGTTTGAATCTTGCTTTGTCACAACGATGGTTTGCTTTTTCAAAACACGTTTGTCTCGGCTTGCAAAGATTACTAGTATGTTCCTGAACTAAAATGGCGTCAAACATTCCGTTCTGTTACTTCGTTTTCGCAACGGAAGAAATGACTCTACTACATTGAAAGGACAACACCGCAACGAACCAGCAAACCGACAGGAGGAAGGGTAAGCTAAAACAAGGATACTATTATATATACGGCACTATCGTTACATATATCTTAAACATGTTGTTTAAAAACCTTGGCTAAGTTGTGCCTACGGCAGAAATATTTATTTTGGTAAGAAGTGTACACTATTTTTTTTACTGATTAATAACATAGTTTATTATTTCTACTTAGAAGTACGTCGATATAGTTTGTATGTTGCTCAGAACATATGTACTTTTTTCAGGCGCGGATTTGGGATACTTTGAGACGATTTGAAGAAACTTTATCGCCAGGCTGTCGGGGAGCTCAGAAAGGAAAGAAAGAAAAGCGACTGCAGTCACACAGAAGAGGGTGAGTCTATGCAAATGTATATCTTTGCATACGAAGGCCGACAAGGCTCTTGACAATTTGAATTGTTTTCATTACCGAGGGAAATGTTGTGTTTGTATTGTTCCCATGATTACAATGAAAAGAAACAAGTAGACGTTGATGCTTGATGAATGGAGCCTTTTCATCTGGACAAAATTGTTGCTGTCTGACGTTAAAAACATTCGTTAAAAATGATAAATGACTTCTCCTCGAAATGTGTCCATACAGACGTCCGCATCTTTGCCAGGCTTGTTTATAAAACGTCTAGTACATGTACACGTAACTTCAAATGAAATTCAAAAATGCCTTCGACTTTTGACTTAGATTTTCGTTTTTCCATGTCCTGCAGGCCAGGCTGGAGGCAAACAGGCAGACTGCACACCCAGGCTCAGATCTAAAGGCGAGGGTGCTGTGTTAAAGCGCCCGGCAGGCTCCGACGACCCAGGCCGGCCCCGCTGCACTCCCGCCCGGGGTGCACCCCGCGCCCAGCACGCCGCTCCGGCCTGACTGTGATCACAACCGACACCAACACCACGCCATCCCGCAGACAGACATGGGGCAGTTTGTCCTTCCAGGATGAAAACATTTCGCTATGGTC